CTCTACTTCGCAATTGAGGTTTCGTGTGTGCCTTTCGCTTGGGAAACGAAAGACCGTCAGGACAAAGTACGTGAAGTGCGAAATCGAACTCTGCATTTCCGGATTTTTTTGAGAATTCCACACGAAGGCAACATTCCGGCAGATGACGCAGGTGGGAAGACAGACACTCCATGCAGATGGTGGCCAAAAATTATATAAGTAGGACATTATTTTCTACCTTAAAAATGTATTTCAAATAACGTCCGCACGCGCGGACTTTGCGACACCACATGGCGTCATTCGTACCGCTGCCTTTATATCTGCGACGACATACGGTGTCTTTAGTCGTTTAAAGGTTAAGAGGTGTCAAATAATATACTACCTCAAAAACCACAATGTTCCATCCAAATTAATCAGACCAATAGCAGCAACTCTCCAAAACATGAAAGCAAAGGTTAAAATAAATGGGGAGCTTCCAAATGAGCTGCGGAGTGAAACAGGGTGACCCATTATCGACATCACTTTTCATACTGCTTATAGATGATAATGTAAAAAGTCTAGATGTTAAGAGGTAAAATTTCCGAAAGGTTAAAACAGTGTTGTGCATATGCCGATGACATATTCATTATTGCAAGAACCAAACAAACACTGATTAACACATTTGAACAGCTTAAAAAAGCCTTGCAAAAGTATGGGCTGTTAGTCAACAAACAAAAAACTAAATTCCTACACTGTTCTAACAAACCTCGAATAATTCAAGATCTCACATGCAGTGACGTAAACATAGAAGTCTCTCATTATAAATATTTAGTGACGTAAACATAGAACAAGTCTCTCATTATAAATATTTAGGGTCTATAGTTAATTCAGATAACACAATTGAACAAGAGATTAAAGAGAGGTTAGCAACTGGAAATAAAGCATATGCTGCACATTTAGCACTGTTTAAAAGCAAACTTATTTCTAAAACAGCCAAATTAAGATTATACGAGGTGGTAATTCGACCACTATGCCTGTGAAATCTGGACACTTAAACAAGCCATTAAACATAGGCTTTTAATCTTAGAAAGAAAAATTCTAAGAAAGATCTTCAGGCCATCAAGAAACCGTGATGGCTTCTGGAGAATTAAAGCAAATGATGAACTAGATAAGCTAACAAAAGGAAGGAACATGGTTAACTTCATCAAAGCCCAATGAATAAGTTGGCTTGGACACATCTCAAGGATGGAGGCTGGATGAACAGTTAAAAGAATATATGACTGGCAGCCACACACTATAAGAAAGAGAGGCCGACATAAGATCAGATGGAAAGATGACGTAAGGGAAGATCTAAAAGACTTAGGAATTTATAAATGGAAAACTCGCACACAGGACAGAAGTAGTTGGAAGGAAATTGTTGAGCAGGCCAAAGCGTTCAAGAAATGGAGCTGTCGAGCCTTATGAAGAAGAAGACCAAGGCATAAAATGAAATATTTTAGAGGAGTATCAGAATTTCATCCTATCAATGGTGCACTGTCTTGAGCACTGTGCAGATGTTCACCATGTTGCACGATACTGACCACACAACAGCATTACATTGAGAACTAAAATCATGTCAAATCACACGGTATATATCAAGAAATGGCTGTATAATGATACTGCTGTGACAGTGCGGCAGAACACACTATCATACAGATGAATGTGAGGGCAACACCTCATATGAGGTCAAGACACTCAAAACATATTTTAAACTGGTTATTCTTTGAGCACCCTACCACTTAACACTACATATTCTGAGCTACCAAGAGCCTCACCCAGGTCTGCAGGCATGCCCACATCTCTGCCTGGAAGAATGGCAGCAGCCTTTCTCCCATGTTTCATTTTCTATATTACCCTTCTTGTTCACATAATTTTATAACAATATTCCATCACCCAGACTGGTGAACACATTAAGATCCCTCTACCAAGAACATTCATGTCCTCTCCAGACTTTCTCCATGACAGATACAAAAGTGAGACATGTCTGATGAGACACATACATTTAGCACCGAGATTCCTCATTCATGGCTCAGAATCAAAGAGGCAAACTGAGAAGAAGATACTGCACGTTCCTTGCTAACTCAGAAACTTGACACCCGTTATCACTCAGAACAGGTTCCCTTCACTGATGCCAAATGGGGAACAATTATATAAATCGTTAAACACCGTTAACCTGAATACGATGTATCTCAGGGACGACCAAACTGTGTCCTGCAAGCCACATATGGCTCCACTCCTCACTAAGTTCAGCCACCCCTGCTACAAAGTACATAATTTGGGATTCTCTTAAGTGCATTAACGTATGAATTTCCTAATTCAAGATGATCCCTCTGACACTGCAAGTAGCACCACAAAGAGACACTAACCTCGAGCACACAGAATTCCACACCTTCTCGTGCAGTAACAGCAGGTGTAGGAAGTCGCTGGTCACTCTCAATTGGAAATCATGTAGTGGGGATGAATGCAATGAGTCTGGGTACAGCACTGTGTCAAAATGGTAACCATTACTGATGTTTCATCTCTGACATTAATAAATAGTGGCAGAAGTACTGCCAAAACATTGGTGACCTGTACCATTCCAGCAGAGCTGTACGTGAACTGCCGAGGAGTCTGAACCGCTGCTCTCTCAGTCCAGCATCATGGTTGGGACAGCAATCTCTTCACTGGTGCCTCTCCAGACCTGCCAACAAACAGTGACATCTATATGCTCCCTTACACCATTACAAAATCTTGCCATGTACAACTGTGAAGTTTTAGAGATGTTGAGGCACTAAGAAGCGTCTGTAGTTAGAAAACTTACCTAAAATTAAAAAGAACCCCTATAAAAAAAAACTTTATATAATCACGCTGTGTGTATTGGCTATGCATTGTATGGTTACTTCTGTGAATACCCCTTCACTTGGTTATAACAAGGCATCACAGTATTATAATGAATGTGGCATTAACAATGCTGTGCTACATGCCGACATACTTAGCCCTCAGACCAAACGAGAGCAATGTGGAAGTCCCAAGCTTGAAACTCGGGTGGGACAATGGCTATCCTGACTAACGGTTTTATGATTTTCTCAGTCCCTATAAAATCCCCATAATTTTTAATACTCTATAATAAGTCTGGTCCAGTCTTGGATACTTTAATCACCTGTCTATGCCCTTGCTTAGCATCCTGCTTGGTTCTGGTGACATCTCACACTGCACCCGGCACTGTTCAATGCTCATTACATATATCGCTGAATGAGAGGGCGACTGTGAATAGAAAAGGCATGGAGGGGCGAGATTTTGATCTTCCCAGTCAACTGACATTCACTCCCTAAATGTGTACAAGGGATGGAGAGCTTCATACATGGGACGGGCTCACTTTGGCATTGTCCGTCGCCACAACGGCATTTTCACCGATTCTTTTCCATAACAATAAAATTGTAACAATTATATATTAGTATACGCAATTATGCAATATATTCCACATACCAGTTTATCTTAACGTTTCTGACGAGCTTTATGATATTTTGAACACCGTGCAATTTCTTTCGTACTAACTGGATATGTAAAGAATCACAGTGTCGGGTCCCTTGGCTCCGCAATTCTCAAATTGTAGCCCACGGGGCCAGTCAGAGTAGGATTCCTTAGCTTATCCTGCTGCCTTTAAAAAGAAACTGAACCCACATGAACTTTTCTACTCCTACGTAACGCATCCATTTCTCTTACTTGCTAAATCTTATATATATAACGTTTTTCAAACGTAATAATGCCATTCTAAACGGCACATTATAAGTTTACCATTACGAACCTTTAAAAACTCTTCGCAGATGCAACACCTCTGGCTCAAACCCACTCAAAATGGCTGACAAAATTTGATATTGCCTGCAAACGTAGATCTCAGTGCCATCTATAGAGTGAAGATAAATCGTCACCGTGTTACTTCCGGCTACGGCAGCTTAGTCCGCTTCGTACTTTTTACTCTTCCTTCATGAAATCCTGAAAACAAATTTGATTTGCTAAAACCCAGAAAATGTGAACAATATTATCGCATTTATTTATGTGAGCTAACTGATGGTAACGTAATGAAATGGAAATTCTATTTTTTTTTTTTTGTTTTTTCATATATCCATACAGGTAAAAATCCTAGGATGTGGAAATAGTCCTTTTGACTATTTGGAACCATGACTCTATGACCTACATTGAGGTCTTCTTGAGATATGACACCGTGTAGGCGGGTAAATAGTTCTAACCGTTTCTGAGGGAGCACCTGCCTCCATATTTAAAGTGAAATCTGTGCTGTGTACTCGTATAATTAAGCATGGCACTATGAAGAAATAGGTGAGGCGTCAAGTAGACAGTCACCATACTGGCCTACATATCATCAAGCCCAGAGCCGGTCCCAATGCGTCCTATTCTGACTTACCTATCTTCGTGAAAACACAGATGAAACAATCCCAACATTTCTAGCATCTAGCCAGAACAACTTAGCAGAATGAGCTGTCCCCTTGCTTCTAATTCGGGAAACCCCAAGTTCTAATCTTGAACCTCAAAACAGCTATCATTTGTGCAGACTTCATACTATTTCTCAGTCCCTCCACATAAATGCCTCAGTAGTACCTGAAGTCAGGCCACGGTTGTCTCTTTCAACATATTTTTAATGCATCATTCACTAAGCACCCAGGCAGAACAAGAGCAGTAGCTCAGTCAGTGTAGCCATGGGCTGGGCGGCCAGGGTTCGATTCCCACCACGTGCAAGTGATTTGTTCCATAGCATCCAATCTGGCTCTTAGGCCCACCCAGCCTCCCATCCAATAGGTACTGGGGGCCCTTTTCTTGGACATAAAGTGGCTGGGGCATGAAGCTGCACACTCATCTCCGCCAAGTGCTGAGGTCATGAATTGTGGAGCTGTATCTCCACGCGACTACATGTCTTCATGACATGGTGCTTAATTAATTAAGCAGAGGGATAACTTTATTATAACTGCATGGCACTAAGAACACTACTCCTACCTGAAATCAGGCACACATCACTTCTGTATTGTTGGATCCGGAGGGGATATGGCAGATAACCTTCCACATGTATCAACAGATTAATGACAACCAGTTCAGTTAACTTATCTTATTCACTTCTCTTTCTCATTTTGAAACATCTGCAGAAATCATACTCAGCAACTCTCATTGAATACAACCCCATCCTCTGGACAAAATCCACGAAAAGTTCAGTATATCAACAATTCCACCTGTCTTTAGCAGAAACAGACCAGTTTCCCCTTCTACTAATCCACCTGGCTGTCAGTGAGGAGCTGACAGAGAGATTCAAAGGCACCTACAGGCACTACACCGTAATGAAAAGTCTGACAGGCTTATAAATTTGGAATCATGAGATCCACTACATGCTGCGTTGTGGACCGGTGCTGCATAAAGATATGGTCTTCTGGGATGTGACACCTCTCAGTTTGGCTGATGAGTACAAACGTTTGGGAGAAACCTTCTTCTGTTATCTTCAGCATAGAACAAGATGAAGACAGCAGTTCATTTCAAAACACTGGAGTACAGGCTGTTAAAAGCAGTAACTACGGGCACTGAAGTGGGCATCCCATTGGTGCACCAACCCCTGGATTCCCTCTGCAAAGATCTCTCTGGGTTCCACCTAGAAACATCACACCACGTTTAAACTGACATCTCTGTCCAACCTGAACTATGGTCCTTTAGTACTCAAGGACCCTGACTTCCCCATCAACACACAGTGCTACTGTGGAACCATCTACAAACATTGTGCCACGATCAAGAGGAAACATTCTTTAGTATGTTCATGAGAGATATCACTGAATTCCTGTTCCCATGTGGCCCACACTTTCCATGACATGCTGCACACATTGCCCATACAGCCCAGACTTATCACCATGTAACTTCCAGGTGCTGACCCCCTCAAGAAAGCACTAAAGGACCTTAGATTTGAGTCAGATGAAGATGTTGTGGCTGTGATGATGCAGTAGTTTCAGTAGCAGCCCAGAGAATTCACTGCGGAGGGGATCCACTGACTGATAGGCTAATGGGATTCCTACTTCAGTGCCCCGCCTCCACTATTTCGCCTGGAACAATCCCAGAAGAGGTTTCGTCTTTTAGGAATGCCCAACAAGATCCCTTGAGAACCAGTGAGATGAGCTACGCTGGTGTCCTACATCTGACCAAGGAGAGACAGGGAGTTCTTGATGTGCTGCTGTGCCAATATATGTAGGATAGGCCCCAAAGTGTACTGAAAATGAAGCAAAATATAGGAAGATTACCAGGGTATAGGGTTGTTGACCACTACCAATATTCTGGGTGAAAATGCTGCCTCCATCTTCAGGACAGAACTCTTCTCATTCTCATACTTTGAGGACACAGGCAGCAGGTTCACCAACAACGTCTCTAATGCTCTACCAGGCTACATGATGTCACAACCCAGCAGACCATGATCTTAATAAATCAGATCATCAAAAATTAAAGCTTAGAAAGACAGTCAAAGGATCACACTCAGTATCTTTCCATTACTACACATGAACAGCTTCAGAACTGTAGTATTATGGTTAACAAACCTGAAACAGAGTAGACGATCTACGGAAAGTTAACTTAAATGTCAGTTTCGACTGTTCACCTCGCATAGGAACTGATGTGACTTCTATCCGAGGTTTCAGCAAGGACTCTGACTCAAGGACAATGCGAGACTCTGGCACATATTCAACTGCTCGAAATAACATCACATAATCACCTATGAACACATAAATGAGAAATCACAGGAAATTAATATAAACATTCACACCATTACCTAATTTGAGGCACTATCCCGGCATTTGCCTGTGGGGATTGAGGAAAACCATTAAAATCTCAGTCATGATAGCCAGTCATCAGGCTGAGATCTGAATCCAGTACCTCAAAGATACAAAGTAGGAGTGCTACCCAACTGACTGTACCTTCTGGTGATATAAAAGTTAATTTAGGAAGTCCTATACAGGAAGGGTCTGTCTGCCCTTCTTATTTCCATGATTTAACATGACATGACTTTTGTTAACACAATTAGAGCCAAAGTTGTTTCTGTATTTAATGAAGTACTGTGTAATGTAGGGGGAGGGGAGGTATGCACCATGCAGTCTTAACCTTGACACTAGATAGAGGTATGGTTAGCTTCATGCTCAACCAATTTACCTATGGAAACCCTGCTACTCATTCAGTAGGGGACTAGGTGGGCCCCACAGCCAGTATGAACACCATGGATGAGAAAAACATCTTTGCTTCCACAGGAACTGAACCATGATTTCTTGCATGTCAAAACTATAGCCTAGTCACTATACTAACAGAGCTAGCTCTACCATATATATTGACTAATTACTTTAGAATGTAGCCATATTATATTTAAGCATCCTGTTGCACTCTATAAAATAAATGATATGAACTCCGTCCCAAGTGCAAACAATATATTATATGTCCTTGATCTTGCTCTCCTTTACACTACATGTTTCGGCCTCAAACGGCCATCATCAGGTGCATACACACACGTTGCTGTTACACTGCACTTAGTTTAAAATTT